TCAAATGAAATATATATATATATATATATATATATCATTTTATACCGATCTTTGAAATTCTTAATACTCCAAAATTTCTATCTTATAATCTCTTGTATAGATCTATAATCTCAAGAAGCAAAATATGTACAGATCGAATCTTGTGAAACCCAGACGATATCTAATTTCGAGCATTCATAAACCTCGAGAATCGTATATCTCTACCTAATAATCTAAATAGTATCCCTTCCTATTGAAATTTATCAGAATCTAAGATACCTTAAAGATATAAATATATTATTTTTCAATGAATAAAATGAATATGTAAGTAGCTTTCTAAATCTTTAATCATCAGTGTATAGATATATATGTATGAATATGAAGATTTATGAATACAAAATAGATATACTCATATATTGAATATTGTCAGAGAGAATCTTAAATTATTTCTAGATTGAGAAATGAAGAAATAATTACATTGATTTGAAAAAGTGTGATAATTCTCGATTCCTATTATATAAATTTCTCGATAGAAAAATTCTCTAAGAAAAATTGAATGAATAATCCATTTCATGATATATATATATATATAGACTAGAGATATCACGAAAAAGGCTATTTCAAGATTTATCTATTATTAGGTAATAGATTTCGTATTATTACCTACGTCGAGCACGCATTTGGTAAGTATAATATTTCTATGACGTAATTCTTCTCCGCACCAAAAACATCCTATGCGTGAGCAAACTGAAAGCTCCAATCTATCATCCAAATATCTTTCAGTTGATCATCTTTCAATATAAGATAAATCTACTTGTGCCAAAGAATATGAATACATGTAAAAAACCCATAAGTCCACGATCTATTACTTATATCATATTCTCAGGTCCGCCATGCTGTGCTTTGCTCTCATATGTATTTCTTGCTGTCACTTTCGCCGCACCCTGTGCTGTGTGTTTCTTCTTGTTTCTGAAAAAGGGGAACCCTAATATAGTACCCTAAATAGTAGGATCCTTATTACCAGGACCCCAGAATAAGGTACCCATAACAAAGGGGCCTTAATAATTACCTATACTATTTTGGGGGTATCCTTATTATTATTATTATAGTACCATGGGCCCCAAGACCTTATTCTAATTATTAAGGCCCCTGCATTAATTTCCTACTTGGTCCCCCGCAGCTGCCTCTTCCAGAGCAGGCTGCTGCTTTCATTGTCGCTTTCGGCGCTTCGAGTGCGCTTCGCTCCCGGCTGACACCCGTGTCGTGGCTCATAGTCAAAGAATATTAGTATTAGTATTGATATTAGTACTTATAGTACTTTTTATTAATACTAATATTAGAATTGGTCTTAAAACCCAACCGCGCAAAAACCTGGATCTGCATCGTTGCGGGAGTGGTCGCCGTAGCGTGTCGTAGCTGCGGAGGGAGTCCGGCGTTTCACAGCAGCGGAAGCACAGCACTTTGGATGTGATTGCAGATCAGGCAGCACTTGCCGGCGGAAGTTCAATCGACTAATTGGCGACCCTAAGCACGATGGTCTACGCGGCGTTCGTGTCGGCAACTTGTGAGCCGAGGTGGACATTCGCTTGCGGCCCCCCACGCTAAGCCACGCCTGCAAAAACATGGAATGACGACATGGACATTTTCCGACAAAATCTAGCAAGCACAAGCTTGAGAAGTACAAATCATACAACTGAACGTATACTGACCAACTTGAACCCTCAACTTGTGTTTTCGTGGCGCGAATCGGTTTCGACGCTTGGAAACACCTGATTGTGTGGGCTTCTTGCTTCCTGAGAGGTATGTGCAAGATTCGTTTTGCTTCTCTGGTTCCATGGGGGAGATGAGTAATTTGTTGATGTCTTGAGCTGCGTTGTTAATAAAGATTGGTCGTGTAGGATTTTGCAAGCTGTTCTTATAGTTGTAAAAAGCTGACCGCCTACTGCACGAGAAAGAGGTTAGTCCCTACTGATCGAACAGTGAACAGCTCTTCATCAGCCAACTTTTTGGTAAATAAAACACACTCCGATGGCATTCCTTCGCCATCACGGCGCACAGCAAAATGTCCAAACCTGAGCCGGCGTGATGCAGGGCAGTTGCGCCGCAGAGTCGGGAGTTCGGCAAGTAATATACATTTATAATACGGAACTCCGAAACTCCGAAGCCAAACCGATCGGTGGCGCGGTCGACAAGCCGAACACGACATTAACAATGTTAGGATTACGCATATTGTTAGTAAGTATCATTCTTAACAATACTAATAACATCAAGCTACTATGTTGGGCTTCTCTAACCTAGGGGCGCGACCACGTGTACCTTCTCTTCGGGTGATTGTAAGACTAAGCCTACTTCTCGCAGGCCACCTGAAGATGCAGGAAGCTTAGGCCTTCAACCTAACCCTTGCTTGAAGTCTCATGGGACTTAGTAAGTAAAGTTATAATTAGGATAACTCCACTTAGGGGACTTTTAACCCCAATTTTGACCTACTTGCTAAGTCCCATGATCCTCAAAATGCTTTTGCCAGTCCACTTGGGAAGCTTATAGGGAACTCCAGAAAGTTGGAATATGGTTTCATGGTAGGATACCCTATAATTTACCATAGAAGGGTCAGGAGAATCATATTCCAACTTTCTGGCTTTTACCTTAGGGTCCAGGAACCCTGAACTGATGAGCTGGCCCGGACCAATGACCAAAAGTGCCCATCAGGATGGGAGCTGTGCTGGGTTTCAGGGTCTAAGGTGCCTCAAGTGTGGGCTTTTGCATCTTCTTGAGTGTGGGGCCGAAACCCTCAAATTTACAGAATTTACGGTTTAGGGAGAACGCTTCTCATCAGCGTAGCAGGCGCTCTACAATTAGAGTTCTTTCGCAAGGGGCGTGCCTTTGGGTCCAAAGTGTTCCCCTAGAGCCAAAGGCTAAAGAACTGCCCCTCAAAGCACAAAATCCACTGCTGAGACCACAAGTTTTGCACCCCACAGCTCAAAAGTTTGTGCTCCAAATCCCAAAAGTCCAGTGCGAGCCCTACAGGTTTGCACCCTCACACCTGAAACTTTGCACTCCTGCTCCATTCCCTTGTTACCCTGCCTTTCTCGCTTCTCATCCGAACCATTCCAATGAACATGAGTGGTATTGTTAATGCTGTTGGTAACACTAATATAGTGAATCATATTAATATGACTGAATTACTGCTATGGTTCGAACTCGCACTTTTCCGTTGAACCTGGTGTCGCGTCAGTATACTACGCTGGTGCACGTGGGTGGGCCTTCAACGTCTAGGCCTAGGCTTCTAGACTCCAACACCAATGCACAAAATCTGACTCCGCAGTCCAGCTGCAATGGTGCCCTTGTGTCCAGGCCCTTCAGGCCGTCCATCACCTCCAGCGACTTTGCCCTAAACCCTAACCCCTCTGCGAAACCCGAAAGCCATCATGAGGCTACTCAAGAAATGCCCAGAGCACGGCAACTTTTTGGCAAACGGCGACAGACTAGTGCTATGGAACAACCAATCCGCATGGTATGGGTTACAACTGATTCAAAACACTCGGGCATGAGTTTTTGAAGGCATTCTTGGTGCCCCAAGCAGAATAGGGCTCTTTTGGAAGGCACCTTTCATGGGCTTTGGGGCCTAATGCAAGGGCTACTCTAATTCAAACTAGGATCGACAAAAGCCCCCCGCTCCACCGTGACGTATTCGACTCCTGACCTGTATGCTGAAACTCTAGATCCTTGCGAAACTTACCTGGGCCCTAGAAAACACAGAATTAAAGGGGATTCCTTATTATGAACTCCTTGCACAAGTCCTCAACAAGGTAGGTTATGTGGTGCTAAGGCCCTAAACCCGAGCCCTTACCTAAACCGTAAACTTTAAAGCCTAACCTAATCTCGTTCCATGTGCACGGACGCCTAGGACTTCTGAGCCTTGAATCTAAGAGCCGCCATGGCTCTGGTGTTCTGTGTTAAAGTGTTGAAGCTTTGGGCTCAGGGTTTATATAGGGTTTAGCCCTAGGCTTACATACAGGGTTGAGGATTTTGGTTTTGTGCGTCAGGTGTGGGGTCTCGGCGTTATGGGGTTACAGGGTTGAGGGTTTTTATGCTTCAGGTTAAGGGTTTCGACGTTAAGCTGTTAAGTGATGGTGATGGGGGATAGGGTGTATGCGATGCAGCCAATGCATGGTCTGATCACGTCTTGCATGACATTTCAACTCCTTCAATTTTCACGGCTGAGTTTTCTGTCGCTAAGGATCCGGCTTGCACCGGTGTAGAGCCAAATGCGGTCTCCATGCTCCTGAGCTCTGCAAAAGGCGCCTTGTAAATTCGGATGATAAGACTCCTGTACTCTATAGAACCGTAGACAACAGGATCCCAAAACCAAGATCCCGGACACAAGTATATCTCCGCAGCTTTAATCCGCAGTCTTCAGGCTTGCATTCGTCACTCGTTGGTGGGAAGATTTGACCAGACGGCCACCAACCGCAAGATACAGCCGTACTCATAGCTTGCATGATAACTCCCCAGGCCCGAAACCCCTCGATAATGGTTTCAGGTTTGCGGGTCTTCTTTCGGAACCAGGAGAGGACGACAGGTCGAATCAGTCAACTCAGGAATACCCTAAACCCTCGACTTAAGGGGTTTAGGGTACTGTTTTGCTGAAGCTGTTAGCCTGTAGTACCATAGGGGTTCGACTCCATAGAGGGTTTAGGTTTTTGGGCTGAGGCCTGCTCAACCCATCGACGATCCTCGCTACTGAGGCCCTTGCCAGTGAAGCTTTGTCCTCACACGACATGCATCTGCGGAGATGCCCGATGTGTCAACTTGGCATCCGCTCTAAGCAACTACCGCTTCAGCGTGGCTGTCCGACCTAAACTCGAACCAATGGAAGATCTTAGCCGACCCGAAACAAGTCACCGGCCATGCCTTGGAGACAACACGAAACAGCTGTGCTCGGACAGCAAAACTGTCGCCAATGACGGGAGACGAAGTCCTCTTTGGAGAGAGGAAGCTGCTCATCGCCATGCTGTCTCCACATGGGATTGCTGCTCACCTTGCTTGGCCGAGCAGCTGAGAGGCGTCGGGGAAAAGCCCTGAGTCCACAGTACTAATATAGGGGCCTTAATAATTAGAATAGAATTTGGGGGTATATTACTAATATACTATACTGATAATATGGAACCCCCAAACCAGTATAGGTAATTATTTAGGCCCCTCTACTAAGCGGTCGTTTTGAACCTGTCTCGGGCCAGGGGGAGAGAACGTTCTCGGAGCAACTCAAGACCATGTTGACGCGAGGGATGCATAGGGGGCCTTAATAATGAACTATACTATTTTGGGGGTTCCTTATTATCAGTCTAGCAGGTGTACGTTTTTGATCACAGGCTTGTTGCGATCTCACCCGGCTAGTGCATGGTGTAACCCACAAAACATATAAGGCCCTCAACCCCCCAGACTCCTCCAGCCGGGAGGTCTGAAATATCTGCGACCGGAAACTGTAGCCCCGGACCGATATTCCATAATACTGTGCTGCAATTTGAGGGGCTCTTGACGTATTCATTTTCAAATACCTCTATAGGCACCATAAGTGACATCTTAAAAATTTGCCTGTGTCAATGTGCCACCTAGACAAGCCGAGGTTTCCACTTGTTATGTTCGTTTAAAACTCGAACCGACGACATTGCAGGGAAGTGCAACGACAAATGCTGGTCAGCCGAAAGACTTCCTATAGGCCCCTCGATGACTACTGATATTCTCCTTCGGGTCCTTATTGTAGTGATACTGCGATATACCCCAGACCCCCACAGGTAGTACGGCCCCTACAGTAGCGTCCTCGCTGAGAAGCAGACAATGGAGTGTTACAGTACCTGCAGCCTCAATGCCCACACGGACTGAGCCCATGGCTGCGACCAGCTCAAACTTTCCAGCCTTCCGTCGCCGCTGGCTTTTTTGAGGGGTTTAGGGTTTAGGGTTCTTTGAAGGGGGTGTAGGCCAGGTAGGGTTCATTGCCGATGCAGCTAGTGCATCCGTGTTGTTTGCGGAAGTTCGCATCATCTGCGACAACTCGGGAAAAGAAATCATGGAAAGAAAAAACTTTATAGTGAACCTCATCTTTGAGTTCTCTCTTTTGCCGACATCTAGAATCTGGATGTTGCGAGGAGCCGCGGAAACGAAGGCAACACCACCACGGCCGCACGAACATGACGATACAACTCACATGCACAGCCACACGCCACGACACACAAACAGGCAGAGATACGGAAAGACACACATCCAGTCAGGACGAAACACTGCCGCAGACAAAGAGAGACACGCCGACAAGCAAAGATGAATGTCTCAAGGATTTTGTCATATGGTCCGGCATCAATGTGGGTGGTTGTCAAAATTAGGGTCCCCTTTTGGGTACCCTAAATAATCGGTGCCGTACTATGATAGAGACCCAAAAAGGGACCATAATCTTGACAACCACCCATGTGCAGCTTCACAAGGGCTTAGGCTTCAGCCTAGGGTTTTTTCAGTGAGGGTTCCGCGCAAGCCTCCAGCTCTGCGATTCGGAAGTGCTCTCGGCTGACCTGAGGCTGGAACACAGGAAAAAGGCGTTTAGTGGATGGCATGTAGTGGGCTCGTACAGCACGTGGCTTCGAGCGGCCTTTGCTGGGAGGTGCAGCTTGTGAGGTGCTTTTAGTTTGCCATTCGGTTGAAGGGCTGGGTGTTCCCCTGAAACCCCGCGCGCCAAACTCCTCCCGAAAGCCGGCGTTTTCTTGGGGCTCCTTAAATCAGTTACAGTATGTTAGTACAGTATGCCCTGCTTCTTCAGTCCATCCGAGGTCCCTACCCAGGCCAGGGCCTCATCGTGCAAAGCGGCCTGCATCGGACTTGATCAGCATCCAGGGTTCAGGTGCCAGAGTTCAGGGTTCAAAGGGGAAAAGTAGGGACCCTTCATTGGGACCCCTACCCTGTAATGGGCTATATAATGGGTATATAATACCTATATGAAGGGTATATACCTAGGGGTCCTTATTAAGGGTCCCTCCTTTTACCCGTGGAAGGGTAGATCGTCGAGGGTTTTATCTAAACCCTGCGCCCTGAACCCTGGGTTCGGAGCTCCGGGCTTAGGCTCCGGGTTTCAAGTGCATCCTAAACCTTCGAGTTCGGAGTTTCGAGTTCGGGGATGAAGTGTCAAGCTTCTCGAGTGTGAATTTCAGGCTTCGTCCGCTGGGGTGCTCTTCCGAACTACAACTTCCTTCAGTCAGGTGATGCAGGGGACTTTTCTATGTAAGTAAGGGTTTGGGTAGTACAAGTATATAGTGTATAGAGAGTATGAGTGGATGTGAGGGAAATATGTTTTTCTTTGCAGTGCCCACCTCGACAGCCTTCCCACAACCAAATACATGCGCACTGAAGAACACTTCACTCAAAACATAAAAAACAAAAAACGCAGGTGGTCAACTTACCCGTTTAACTCGACCAGGGATTGAGATCCTCCAGTCACGAAGGGATTCAGTAGGAATGTCCGAAGCCTCAAACTCGGTTGTAGCTACGAATGCCGCACCTATATCGCGTATATACGTGTATATATATATATGTATATATATATACATATATACATATATATATATATATATATATATATCACATAGAGAGATTTACGGAGGACCATCAGCAAGTTTCAGTACCAAGAGTATCCCAACTGGCCACCTACCAAACCGACCCTATTTTCCCAGATCGAACCCATATGGGTAGTTGTCAAAATTATTAATGGTCCCTAATTGGGTACCCTAAATATTAGGTGCCGTATTATAATAAGGACCCAAAAAGGTACCAACAATTTTGACAACCACCCACATGTCTTCACCCGCGTCTCCTGGTGCAGCTCGTGCTGGTAGGCTCGGCCCACCTGGTTTCAGGGATTTACGGTTTTAGGATTTAGGGTTTGGGGTTTTAGGGTTTATGGTTTTAGGGTTTTAGGGTTTAGGGTTTAGGGTTTAGGGTTTAGGGGCACAAAGAAGTGGACATGATGCGCGAAGGGCTCACCCAGCAAAAGGCATGAAGTGCTCTCTGCTCTGTAGATGAACCCTTTTTTACGGGCTGTGAAGTTCTGGGCGGAAAACCCTAAGGCTGAAAGCCTGAGGCGCCCGCTGTGAGATTTTGCCTGCCGTTGTTGCATGAGGCCGGTGCTGCAGGAAAGGCAACCTGGCACCCACCGCACTCGAGGGCTGGGTGCCTAGAACGCTGGTCTTTCCGTCTCAACTCAGCTTCTCGCCTAAATCCTGAAACCCTAAAAGCCTAAACCCCTCCATGCTCAAGCAAAGGCTAGACCGCCAGGCACCAGGACTTTGTGCAACAACAACTTGCAGGCCGCAGTTCCTAATGTAGGCCCCTTGATTCCTAGATTTTCTAGCATTTTAAGGTTTCGGACTTGTGGGTTCAGAGCTTTGGGTGTTGAAAGTACAGCTATGTTGAACATGTCGTGCCGGCGAAACATCCACTTGCCCGGAAACAGCAGCCCTGGCAGAACAGTGCCTGGGTTGATTCAATGCCAAACCAGAGGCTACCGTGTTATTGCAAACATCAACGATATTTGCACTCTGCTGACTCTACTCTCTCTTCCCCTGGTTTCTTTGGGTCCCGGGGTGCTGGGGGGGAGAGATACGTTGTTTGACTCTACTCCCGAAGCCCAAAGCCTCCATCTTCCGACCTCGACCTTGGCCTTCACCTCTTCTCTGTATACTATAGGGGCCTTGATAATCAGAATAGGGGTTAGGGGCAAATTTTACATTATGCTATGTACACTTTTTTATCATAAGGAACTCCCAAAGTGGTATTGGTAATTATTTCGGCCCCCTATATTACTTCCTATTACTATACCTGGATGCCGAAGGACTTGCTACGTCACAGCACCTGAGCATGTACTCGTCGCTGCTCAGGGGGCACCTGCTGCTGGAGTGAGATAAAGTATAAAATGCATTGTGTCAAGTTTCTACGTAAAACTATTACAAGATAGATGTACATATATATGTACACATAGAGATAATGATAAAGATATAGATAATCTACAATGTAAAATTATGGGGCATTGATCCGAGGACGGGGCCCTGACCCTGTGAGCCTCGTCTGGGCACAGGGCTTGGGTTCTTGCAACAGTTTCAGGGTTCAGGGTTTAGGGTGCATGGTTTGGGGTTTAGGGTTCAGTGTCCATGGTTTGTGGTAGAATTTAGGGTTTAGGGTTTGGAGTTTCGGGTGTAGGTCCAGGGTTTATTGACACTCACACTCCGACGGTCCATGGGGCTTAGGGTTTGGTTTCAGGGTAGAACCATCTGGTAGCCCTGGTGTGCTTGAGGTGATGGCTAGCTCTACTGATTCCAGCGAATGTCGACTAATCAGCACCACGAGGCTCCAACACGATGGACTCCGCGTGCGAGTTCTCCAGGCTTGCTTGTCACGAGCAATACTCAGTGGGGAGCTTCCGAAAAACATGGGACCCTAGTATAGTACCCTATATAGTAGCATCCTCATTCTAAGCACCCCCAAATAAGGTGCCCCTAATTTTCGGAAACTCCAAATCCTTATAGAGCCCTTTAAAGGAACCCCTTATAGTACCCTTATAGTAACCCTTTAAAGGAACCCCTTATAGTGCCCTTATAGTAACCCTTTAAAGGAACGTTAAGGTACCCCTAATTTTCAGAATGATCAAGAGCAGTCTGAGGCGGCCCGCGCACTTCCAGCTCCGCCACGCAACGGCAACTCGTCGTTAGACGGGAGAACCCAACATTAAAAGGGTACTATAAGGGTTCCTTAAAGGGATCTATAGGGTTTAGGGCTTAGGGCCTACTTATTAAAGCTTCAACGTTTAGGTGGGTAGTTCTCCAAAGTAGGGTCCCTTTTTAGGTCCCCAAAATAGTACGGCACCCTTATAAAACAGGACCCTCAACGGAACCTAACTTGGAGAACTACCCACATGAACGACAACGAGGGGCCACAGCTCCAACGACGCATCAAGTCCAAGCGGCCTGTTCTTCCATCGGGGTCCAGTGGACTTGCAAAAAAAAGCCCGAGTGGGAAAGCCACCTCTGAACCCAAAACCCTAAACCCTAAACCCCAGTAGGAAGAGGTCGTCCTCGAGACTAGAGATAAGTCGGAAGTCATACAAGAGACCGTGGACGACAAGACAACCAGATCCGTGAGAATAAAGGAAAGCCTGCGACACCAGGGCTTGGTACAAATAACTCCCTACACTGCTACACCTTAAACGCTCAATGATAAATAGCCCGCTTCGTGTAGACAACTAAGACTACCAGAAATGCGCGATTACGGCTCATCGTGGCGAGTCAATAGAGTGCGAGCACCACCTTTTGCAGCAGTCCTGCCCGATATACCAACAACCTAGGCCCAGAGCCCTGAACCGTTTTTTTAGCATGGGCTGCCGTGCATACCTGAACCACTAACCGCTAACCCACTGATCCACACACTACGTAATCCCGAGCCTCCACATCCTATAAGCGTTCTAGATAGAGGAAGCCCAACCCCGAACCAATAGTCTAAACCCAAGAATCGCCGAACCACAAAGCTTTTGGTAAACCCCCAAAATGTGAGACCAAACTCAGCCCCACCTCGGGTCTCACGGCAGTTCCACCGAGCTCGACCCAAAATGCGGGACCTGTGCAACGCCATACAGCTTGCTATTGAGGATAATTGCAGCAATTTGGGTCTAGGGTAGATGGGTACTCGTAATGGGTTACTTGGGCACTTAGGAGCATGTAGGCATAATGAAAGCGTTACGCAGGCAAACATGATTAACAGTGCAGCTGCGTAGCTAAAGGGCAACTGCTAATTGTGTTCGAACCAGAAACAGTGCTGGCACATTCTTGAAGTACATGCATTTTCACTGCAGGCTAAAATCTAGGATCCTTATTACAAGGACCCCAAGATAAGGTACCCAGGTACCCCCTATTTTCGGAAACTCCCTGCTTTAAGACTTAACTTGTCTGACTTCTGAACCCCTCCTAAAAGTTAAACTTTTAGCCTCCTTACTATAGCTCATATAGAAACCCAAAAAGTTAAAGTCTAAAGAGCCAACCAGAAGACCGCCAACCCTAAACCCTAAACCCTAATCCCTAAACCCTAACCCCTAAACCCTCTCTCTCTCTCTCTCTCTCTCTCTCTCTCCAGAGCACTAACCCCTAAACCCTAAAACCCAAAACCCTAAGCCCCTAAACCTGTCAGGCCTGCAGGCGCTGGTGAGGCGGCAACGAAAGTCGCTCCGGGTGCCTCGGCGAAGCCAAGTCTCCGTACTCAGACCCCCGGCAAAATCCAAAAAAGTAGATCCCTTAATGGGGGTTCCTATAAAGTACCCTTAATAGTATAGGGCCCCAAATTAGGGGATCTACTTTCTAGATCCTCCCGGGGGTCTGGGTACAGGTTTCGGGTTTAGGGGCTTTGACGGCTCCGTAAGCCCTAAACCCTTTTTTGAGCAGGGACTGCAATGCACCATGTATCCTAAACTCTAAACGCCTAAACCTTAAACCAAAAACCCGTAAATCCTAAACCCTAAACCCTCAGGGTCTAGGGTTTACACTGCTCACCGAGTTTGGGGTGATCGGGGGGCTTCAAGTCGTTAAGAGGTTTGGGGTTTGGGTTTGGGGCTTAGGAGCTACTCAAGCTTTTGAGACTTTTAGTGCCTGAGGAGTTTAGAGCTATTCATGTAGAGCTGGGTTTAGGGCTTAGGGTTCAGGGTTTCAGATTGGAAGTTTGAGGGATGTGGTGGCCTGCTCCATGGCAGCTTGTGCTTTGCTAAGCGCTGCTCTGGGGAGAAACTTCGGCATTGAATTTCAAGACGTCGGGCGGGTACACTCATGTTACTTCATGGGCCATACCCTTATAAATTACTCTTGCCCTCCACCCTGAATGCTGAGCCCTGTATGAAGAGAAGCTAAAGTTATAGGTTCGCACATTTAGCCGCCTTACGCCCAATCCGTCCACCCCCTATTGGATCCTGTTGGCCAGAAACTTTGGCCAGAATACAAGCAAAAACCAACCTGATGTCACGCATCCCCCAACACCAACCAACAAAGGTGGACCGGACGCACTGAATTCTGATAACCCCAGGCCCGCGTTGAACCCATTTAATATCGGGCCCCAATAATCAGAATAGGGTATTGGAACCCACTATACTATAATTATAGTAAGGAACCCCCCAAAGTAGCATAGGTAATTGACAAGCCCATATATTCTCCTGAAACCCTGCGGCGCTTACGCCCCAAAAAACGCTGGAGAACAGAGTCGACCAAGAAACCCGGAAATCTCCGTCCACATGCCTTGTGGGTTTTGATCCCTGGTTGTTTTTAAGTTAAAGTGTAGAGAGTTTAGGGTGTGTTCAGGGCTTCAAGTTTTGTCACCTGGAGACCGCAAACACGGCTGCAGGGTCGGGGGGTTTCGAAGGACACACAAAGTCTTTAATTCATTCCCAGCCCCTGGCCCGTTCCAGCGTCAAGCGCAGGAAACACCTAGGGTTCTCGGCTTTGAAGCTTTGATGCCCGGAATCAGAGAATGAAGCAGGGTCGGGACAGATTTGGTTTCACGTCCAAATCAAGCTTTCGAACAAAATGAAGGCTACCATGGGTCGCTTGGATAGCTTCTCCGGTGCAAAGTTTAGCGAAATGAAGACTGACTCCTACTTAGGGTTCAGGGGAGTTAGTAAGAAGGTTATAATCCTGGGGTTATGTAGCCTTTCTTATGAGTTACTTACTTAAAGGCTCATGAGACTTAGTAAGTAGGGTTAGAAGTAGGTTATAATTAGGATAGCCCCACTAACAAGACTTATAACCCCACTTACAACCTACTTACTTTGTACCATGATCCTCTAAGTACTAACCAGCTTGCAGGTCTCGAGCAAGGGGTGCTGAAGGCCCTAGGCTACGGGCCTACGGTTTCGGGACCCTAAACATCCCGATGTCTTGATTAAAACCTGCTGCACGGGCCAGTGTGTACCAACAGAGCTTTCCAAAAAAGGGGTTTAGTTGAGGAGCTGGGGATCGGCAATTCCCATACATATGTACATAATATATATATATATATATATATGTGTGTGTGTGTATGATATATATGTATATATACACCACAAATCTACACACACATATTCACACCTACATCCAGACATCCTCCCAATTTTCTTCCGTACATACCTCTAAAAAACCGCACACACTGACATACATAAGCGCGGACATGCGTACATACACATACATACAAGCATGCATGATGTCAGCATACAGTTTCACTACCCTATGCTGCACTGCACTGCACTAGGCTACGCCACGTTAGACGGCACTACGCTACAGTACATACATGACCTACGTCCGCAAGTGCGCAAACACATACATCCACATATGCACACATGCGATTGTATAAACACCCCGTATAAGAATCCTTATGCCTGATTGCTGTTATCGCATTATGTTCTCCTTAGCGTTCTACCACGAAAAATGCGTTATCGTTTTGTTGTCGTTTTATTCTCTTCTCACGGAAACCCATCAAAACCGAACACAGACAAGTCAAGACTAAGCTTAACAGCATGGGGTTATTATACAGTCCCACATGAACTTACACATACAAATGACAAAGATACATGCATGCATCCACCCATATCTCCATGCATCCACACATCCACACCTGCATGCACGAATACAGGTACACAATTTCACATATAGACTACATCGCACTACTGCGCACTGCACTGCGCCACACTACATGCCACTGCCCTGCACTACGCTACAATACATACATGCGTGCATGCATGCATATACACATACAAACATAGGTTCATAGATAGATACGTAAGAAAACACAAGCGTACGTAAGTATTTACACATGAAGATACTTGTACACACACATGGCAGGAGCTCATCCCAAAGCCCTGGCCACCCAAGACCCAAGCACTCAGGCGAGCTCTTCTTGCAAAGCCCTGTGCTCGAAACAGAATGTGCAGACGCAAGGACATGTTATGAACAATGACAAGATGTCACATGCCGCACTCAATCTCGATCTCTGAGGGCTATGCCGAAGCTCCACACCGGCGACGAACTCAATGCCTCTGAACCCAGCAGTGATGTTTGGGATTGCTCCAGGGTTCATGCTGTTGTGGTTTAGGTTTTTGGGTTGGGGACTCAAGGCTTTTTGGGAGAAGTTCAGGGTGCCACGCGGGAGCTGAAGTTTTAGGCGTCGGGGGATATGTCTGACGAACTGACGCTCAACGAAACAGATCAAATAGCTGGACCACATGGTCGGTTCGCACTTTCACCCAAGGATCCGCGGAGGAACAGGTATCCATGCTGAAACCTGAACGAATGCCAAGGACGCACACACACACACACACACACCAAAGCTCAGTAGAAAGGGACGCTGAACCCAAAACAGAGCAGCTGGGCCCCTCCGCAGCCAACAAAAGCCCTCAACACACAACCCTTCTTGAACGAGTTTTCTCTGAAGTGCCTACAATGTCCAAGTTGCTCACAACCCTAAACCCTACACCCTCAGAGCAACACATCGAGGTCCCAGCTCTCCCCGGCGTTCATGATGGACTCTCCATCCTGCCAAGTACCCTATCTTTAGTTGTTTTTAACGGTCCTTTTTCGGCTATTTAGGGTTTCGGCGCTCGCACTCGCACTATTTAGGGTTCAAGGTTTAGGGTGTAGGGGTTTATTATAAGACCAAGACTTAGCCGCATGGCCACAATACAAACAGTATTTTGATACCCGCTCGGGTTTTCAGTTTTCTAAGAAAAACACACAAATAGAACTAGTTCCTGAGGAGAGCCCAGCAATATCTGGGGCACGCGGACTCCATGGGTTAAGTGGCTAGGAGTAGCTCACTTCGGGGTCCGACCCCTTTCTACACACCTTAAACTACCAAACCCTACTTTTTGTAAACCCTAATATGGAATTTATCTGGACCCTACAAAAAAGTACGTTTTGGGTAGGTTAAGGCAGGCTGGATTGGAGCTCGCCCGGCCAGGTTCCGTGGAGCACGTCGCACTCGTAGCGAGATGCGCAAGTCAAGTATGCACAATCCGTATTTATCTACGGGTAACCTGCCGGATACATAGGACCCTAAACCCTCAACCCTATCTTATCCTCAGCCTTTGCCGATCCTACTGTTTCTTCAACTTTCGCAACTATGGGGCCATGTTCTGAAACTCCCAAGGTCGTTACTAAGTGTGACAAGAGAACAACCTTCAAACTCCTACACGCGCGTGGTTCCCTAAATTAGGGTCCCTTTGTAGGTCGCCAAAACATAGCACGACCCTCTTAAAAGGATCCTGAAACAGACGTCGTTTCAGAGAACTTTCCACATCTGGGTTCCGGAATGGATCCTGAATAGTGATGGAACCCTGTTTCCTTTTTATTTGGTTTTAGTAAGGGAGCACAAAAAGAAAACGGGCAAAAGGGGACTACTCAGGAACTCAGAGATGGCAAAGCCCAAGCAACAAGGCCATAAGGCGGACGAGTCCATCTTGCCTTGCAAGACGTCACGGAAAAACCCTCAAACCTGTAAGCACCGGAAGATCTAAGCCGTAGGCAGTAGGACTGGTAGTGCAACAAAGGGGCTCAGAAAAAGAAGATTGGGATTTTGGGCATATTAGACTAGAGATGGGGAGGAACCCGAAGGAGTGGTATTGGTAATGATCCAAGCTTACCTAATTCAGCCATCCCGAATCTCAACAACCCCTATGAAGTTCCCGTCCTTTCCGAGTTGCTGTTGTCTCACGACCTGCAGATGCACTGCCGGGATGGCTCAGCCGTAACTGAGGTCTAAGCTTCTGACACCCATTCTCGGCTTAGCCAAGCAAGGACTGAGGTCAAGGGTTTAAGATTCCGCAGTGTGCGGGCTTGAAGGGCTGCACTGCAGTATTGGACTAAAGTTTGGGATCAAAACGCTTACAATTCTGCAAGAAATGGGAGTTTCCGAAAATAGACGACCCAAATATAGTACCCTAGGCAGTAAGATCCCTATAATGAGGACCCCAAAATAAGGTACCCCTAGTTTCGGAAACTCCCAAATGTGCATGGATTGCCCAAATGCGCGGGGATTCCATTGCTGCCTATTTAGAGGATCATGGGACTCAGTAAGTAGGCTATAACTGGGTTCATAAGTCCCCTAAGTGGGGTTATCCTAATTATAACCTACTTATAACCTTACTTACTAAGTCCCATGAGCCTTTAAGTACCCGCTTCGCCACACCCTGAATCGCTCTGCGTTTCGGCCGGAAACTCTCACATTTGCCGACCCCCCATGTCGCACCCTAAAGGAACCCTTTGTAGGACCCCTTAAAGGAGCCCTTATAGAACCCCTAACGGAACCCTCATAGAACCCTTAAAGGAGCCCTTAACGGTCGCCTCAGCCCTCTGAACACCTAACAAAACCCGAAACCCTGAAGCCTAAACCCTTTTTTTTGAGCCCCTGTTTCAACCAGCAATCCAACTTGCTAGCCGAAGCCTAAACCCTTCTTGAACGAGGTCTCTCTGAAATGCCTCCAAGCCTAAACCCTGAACCCTAAACCCCTGAACCCTGAACCATGGCAGACTGGATTTCCGAGGAAGAGGCCACTGGGTTGACGCTGAGGTTGCGCACCTGACCGTTTGATGTAGGGGCCTTAATAATTAGAATAGGCTTTCGGGGTAGATTCTACTATAATTATGATGAGGAGAGGAACCTCCAAAACCCTATTCTAATTTTTAAAGGTCCCCCATAGCACGGTTTCGCAACTCAGACACAGGGGACTCACACACAGGGGCTGTTCCCTCTCGTCTAACCAGACTCAGTGTTTAGGGTTTCTGGGTCCGGGCCGACAGGGGGGTTGCCTCTAAAAACCTCCGTGACCCCTTAATTATTCTAAGCCGGGTTATAATTTAGATACTGCTTGTTGGATTACATTCCTTCAGCACCACTAGTAACTCATAAACAAGTATATATGGGAACGGGCTGGAGCTTTCCTGCAGTATCTGAGTGTCACTCAAAACTGCAGATGTCTGTGAAGCTCAGGCCCGTAGATGCTGGGTGAGCCCCCCAAAGGACCCAACCAGGAACTGGTCGGCGCCGAGGTCAACGACCTGCGCGGCGGCTGTGTTGGTGGTTTGTAGGCTGCGGTGCAAAGCTTCCACCCATCTATGGTTTAGGGTTGAGTTTGTGCATTGAGAAGCCTTAGCCCCCAAACCTATAACTGTCTTTATACTGCTACCTATACTTAATATACTCCGCAGAATCATGACACTTATTGCTGGTCTTGCTACGCGTGCAAGAGGAACCGTTGCATCCGCTGGCGATTCTCTCGCCTGCAGGTGTGATCTGGAGATGAAAGTCAAGTTCGAGCTCTCCTGGCCAATGATGCCTGGCGACGGAAGGGTCTCGGGTTGCCGGCCTTTCGGGTTTGAGGTTTAAGGCTACGGTTGAGGGTTTAGGCTTGGTTTTTTTGTTGAGGACCTTCTTCCAGCTGCGGTACAGTTGGGTTTAGGGTTTGGGGTTCAAGGTTTTCGTTAGGCTCATTGTTTTGCTGTTTTGAGCTCCTTCTTCCACCCTCAGATTACTAGCGGCTCAGCGTTTCGACCCGCAGAGTCGCACAAAGCAGGCACGGCTCATGAGGTCTCGCACCGGCTCAGGGGTTCTTTTCTCTCCTACTCAGCAAGGACGAGCCCGCACTGCAGGGAAGTTCGGGTAGCAAATGGAAGCTGCTTTGTGCAGTTTAGGAGGTCTGGGAAAAATCCTACAAGGTGGATCTTGGTTTCTCAAGCGGCTTTGATGGGTTCAGGGGCTTGGCATCGGTAATTGGCCAGACGTCTATCTAACCTGGTGCAAAAGTATTCAGTCCGCACCTGTTATAGCTAAAGGCCAAATCCGCACTCATGCGCAGGATCTGGAAAGCTGTCAGTAAGCCTAGACACCTGCTACGGTTGATGATATAAATCCTGCATTACCCATAATAAGGAATATACCATAATTCCCATAGTTTAGGGTCCTTAAGGTAATGCAGGATTTAGATCATCAACAGTATTTAGGGTGCCTGCTTGGAGGATCATGGGACTTAGTAAGTAAGTTTATAATTGGGGTTATAAGTCTTGCAAGTGGGGTTATCCTTATTCTAACCTACATTTCTGTCACTCGCGCTCGACAAGTCAGACGAGGTGTATGGGGAGCATACAAGAGGTTATATAGCTAGCAGAACCCTTGCCCATTTTGGGTAATAATACCACCAGTCAACCCAGTAGAACATTTTTTCCTATACTCCTTATACTCCCCGCTACACCCCACGCAATATATCACCACTGCTCCTCAATTACCAAGACCAGTATAGGAATGACCAGGTACCCCATCCATATTCCCTAAGGCGGTATTATCATTCCCAAATGGGCAAGGTTCTCTCACACATGTATCGGGTTTGGGATTCAAGGGTTGTCTGCCGGTGCACTTGCCCGGATGCCCCTGCATGCGGACGAAAGCACATGCGACTCATTTTTGGTATCATTCGCCTGCGTAAGTGAATGGACAAGGAACCAGGTACTCGCGCCAAGGCCCCCAGACTAGAGGGGGATCTTGGCGGAAAATGTAGTCCGTGTTGCCTAGAGGATCGGGATACTCGCGAAGGATTGCCTCTGCCCCTCGAATGTCTTCCTCCGAGAAACCTGCTTGTTGCAATTCCTCAACAGAAACGCCCAAAGCCAGTTGTAATGTGCAGTCGAGTTTAAAGACGGAGCGTAGCTGAGTGCCAGAATATCCAACGGCCACCAGCTCGTGGAACTGCACTCCTGCCATTGCAAGGTGGCGGACGTCAACTGAGAAAGCCCGCATCATGCGGATCCAAGAATACCTGCGTTCATCTTGCACCAGGACCTGGACGATGACGTTAGGCTCAGCATCACGCATGTCACGAAGGTCACGTAGCCATTCCACAAGCGGCATGAACACTTCAGGGGAGTAGTCCAGAAAAATGTTCCCATTTGCATCGTGCTGTGCCTCACAGCGGCCTGACAGCTGTGAAGACAGTCGGTTCTCACCGAGAATGTCGAAAATATCTGGAGACACCTCAATGAGCTTTTCGCCACCGATATTGAGTTTTATACTAGTAGGAGGCCTGGCCACACGTCGACGTTTGCAAACGCGGAGTGCCATGGCGACTGGTAAATGTGCTCAAGTACCTTGTGTTTGTCGTCGTGATCTTAATCTCTGTCAGAACATGTCCGCTGATATCTGTTGTTGTAGAAAGTTGTTTTCATGCCAAAAATGCTAAAATCAGGTTTGAGGGCTTGTTTAGATGATGATGCGTCTGAACGTTTTTGTGTGAGATGCCCCAAACCAACTCACGTCCTTATGAAACATTGAATGTCAAACATTAAATACGTCCTCGCTAAGTCTCGCGCTACAACAGTGCGGACGTGGTAAACACGTCTTTTCTTGTCCCTTTGTTTGTGATGCGAAACCATTCGTAGATTGGAGGCTTGTTGCAAACTGCACCAGTGCGGAACCGAACAGAAACTCAGAGCGATGTCTCAAAACCTCGCCGCGCGAGAATTCAAGCAAACCCCAAACCGTACCCCTAAACGTCACTCCTCTCTCCCTTCCAGGCGAGGAGTCCGACTTCTTGACTTACAACACTGAGCACCTCAAGGCGATCCTGTTCTAGGGTTTAGGGTTTAGAAGTGACGGGGGTTGGTTCGCGGGTTTCTGTTCTCGTTTTTTGCATCGCAAAACCATTAAAACAAAAATCTAACTAAAAGCGCATGCCATATGTGTTTAGATCCCTACCAACTTATACATAAAGAATCATACGAAACACTGAACAAAACAACCAAAAAACAAGAAAGCAACAAAACACACACACACACACACACAGACACACACACACACAGACAGACAGACAGACAGACAGACGGACAGACGGACAGACGGACAGACGGACGGACGGACGGACGGACGGACGGACGGACGGACCGACAGACCGACAGACCGACAGACCGACAGACCGACAGACCGACAGACCGACAGACCGACAGACCGACAGACCGACAGACCGACAGACCGACAGACCGACAGACCGACAGACCGACAGACCGACAGACCGACAGACCGACAGACCGACAGACCGACAGACAGACAGACAGACAGACAGACACACAGACACACAGACACACAAAATCAAGTTGACAACTCAAGGGCAGGGATGTTTTGGGTTAATATAAAGGCTTCCGTTCAGGGGCTACTACGATGGTAAAGTACGACATAGGGACCTCAATTTCGAAACAACACTTAAAAGGTGCATCTGATCGCGAAAGTATCCTTAAGGAGCCGGAAAGGAATACAGTAGAAGCCCAAAAGTTGGAAACCCAATAGCCTCAGTCCTTAAAGAGTAATGCGCAGGGAATCCCAGCACTAATTGTCCTTAATCCGGTTTCAAACATTTTGGGGCGTACTGTAGTAGCGTTGAATTTTTGGGCCTCTAGATTATCATCTGATGCGCTGTCCGCGAGGAGGTGCCGCCTTCGAAGTAGCCTTGCTGGTGCTGCCGGCCGACTGTCAGTTCTCCTGATGGACTGCAAGCTTAGGCCATAAGCTTTAAGGTCTAGGGTTTTGAGATCATGCAAACTCAGCTCTGAGTTAGTATGACCCGAACTGCAGTTCTGAACTGCAGCATCGCACTCTATCGACGTACAGTAGAAGCCACAAAGTTGGAATATCATTATCGTAACCCTTTTAAGGTAAATTATAGGGGATCCTACCATTAATCCATATTCCAACTTTCTGGAGTTCCCTTTAGAGCTTAAGGCACAGGCTTTTGGCGCCGTGGCAGATTCAGTAAGCTAGAGATCTCCAGCTCTCTGACGTCACTACTTCAAGGCTCATGGAACTTAGTAAGTCAGGTTACAAGTATGTTATAATTAGGATAACCCCACTTGGGGAGTAATAACCCCGAATTATACATTATAACCTACTTATTAAATCCCATGATCCTCTAAGTACCAGCAGTCTTTATGCATGGGTAAGACGAGCTAGAGAATGTTGATACTCAATGCTTGTAACAGTGAGAATGCCACAATCACGAATCGCCCCCCCTTAACCCTCAGCCCTAGAAAACGCTCTATAAACCCTGAGCCCATAGCTTAAGCCCTAAACCCTTTCACACCTGGACTTGATGAAACCCTTTTTAAGCACGGACTTGCAGTGTATGCCGGCAGCGAAGCTCTAGGGCAGAGCCTTCCTCAGTCACTTTAGGAGACCTCTAAAACCCTAACCCCTAAGCCCAGACTCCCAGATCGCAGCCTCGGGGAAGGGGCACTGCCCTCTGCTCCGCCTGCATGGCGAGCATGTCGCGGCCTTTGCATGATGGGGGGCTAGAGAGAGCAACTGCAGTAGTAAGGTTTATGAAACAGACTAAAGTATGTGGAGCAGCAACATCCTTCGAGGCTCTTGCTACTTGTTAAGAGGGTTTGCCCGATTTTGCAGCCAAAACAAGGGCGTTCACGCTGGAATTACGGTGGTCACAATGCTGCGTTAAGCTTGGGCTTGCCAGAGACTCTGACTCTAACATCCCTGAAGCCCTTGATTAACGAACATTCCTTAAATCATATGAGGTATTCTACCATAATTTAAGGTATGTCACGACCGGATATGCTCGTGGCCCTTTGCCACAAAACTTCAAAAACCTCAGGTCAAGAGTCTGTTTATGAGGGTTTCTACGAGTTTTTCACCTTCCTCGAGATCTAAAACCCTACAAAAAACACCTGGGTGGTGGTCAAAATTATGGTCCCTTTTTGGGTCCTTATTATAATACGGCACCTCATATGGAGGGTACCCAAAAAGGGGCCCTAATTTCGACAACTACCCACCTAAACGTTGAAGCTTTAATAAGTAGGCCCTAAGCCCTAAAACCCTATAGATCCCTTTAAGGAACCCTTATTAAGGGAACCTTTCAAGGAACCCTAAGTACCAACAGTCCCGAGACGTCGCCAAATGCCGGTTCGGGGCCCTGAACTCACCGTCGCGCGTCCTACTTAGAGGATCATGACTCTTGGTAAGTAAGGTTTGGGGCTCCTTTTAAGGGGTGCTATCGGGTTCTATAGTAGGGCTCCCTTTAAGGGTTGAGGCTTCAGGGTCTACTAAGAGGATCATGGGACTTGGTAAGTGTAAGGCTCCTTAAAGGGTTCCTTTAAGGGATCTATAAGGGTTCTACAAGGGGGAGTTTAGGGTACTCAGAGGATCATGGGACTTCGTAAGTAGGTGTTAATTGGGGTTACAAGTCCCCCCCCTTAAGCGGGGTTATCCTAACTATATCCTTACTTACAGAGCCCAATGAGCCTTTAAGTAGAGTTGAGCCCTCCGACGCAGAAAGATCCTCGAAGAGTCCAAACCTGAAACCCAGAAGCCGGGAGCGTCACTCGCGGACATGGTGCAGAGGAGGTAGTGCTCCGCAGATGCGAGGGACCTCGGTCTTAGGCTTTTTGGCCTTAATGGCGTTTCCGTAACTAGGCTCTTACACGGTCCTATTAGCATTACAGTACCGTCTGATCGGATCGGCAAAATTCAACCCGCAGGGGTCCCCTCCACAGTGGCAACGCTGTGAGACAAGCCGGGGTCTCCAAAGTCCCTTTCTTAATCGCAACTTTTTTGCGAGGTTCACAAGGCTCGCTAAGAATGCATACCAGTAAGAAAGCGTGGATTGGTACAGTTTACTATCCTGTGGCTAAGGGCCCCTTTAAATGGGACCCCTACTATAATGTAGTATGGGAATGTTGTGTTTAAGGGATAGCGTTGAGGCTTATATCTCAAACGACATTTTTCAGGGATCCTACGAGAATTCTACTACGAAATGCCCAGACCCCGGTGTTCTTCGGATCTCCCCTACTTGAAGTCTCATGGGACTTAGTAAGTCAGGTTATAAGTAGGTTATAATAAGGGTAACCCCACTTAGGGGACTTATTACCCCAGTTATAACCTACTTACTAAGTCCCATGATCCTCTAAGTAGCCTAAACTCCCCCCTTATAGAACCCTTATAGATCCCTTAAAGAAGCCCTTTAAAGGAACCCTAGCTACTAACAAGTATAACACCAATTAGACCCTGAACCCTAGACCGCCCCCCAGCTCTCAGCTCCGGGCGCATACCAGGCACCAGGGATAGACCTGGGTGAGTGGGAGTTCAAGCCGAATTTCTTGCCCCCCGCATGGCAACGACTATGCCTTCAAGCTCTACTGGGGGCTTTTCAGGCTTTAGGGTTAGGGGGTTTGGGGTTCAGACTTTCGATTTAGGGCGAACCGTACGGGGGCTAAGGAAATCTTACACTTTTCGCTTCCATACACCCTGAAACCCTGACCGTATGCCTCCCTAAACCCTCTCTCTCTTTCTCTCTCTCTCTCTCTCTCTCTCTCTCTCTCTCTCTCTCTCTCTCTCTCTCTCTCTCTCTCTCTCTCTCTCTCTCTCTCTCAGTTGCCTGTCAGCCGCGACGCGGAACATAGCGATTTCGCCATGCATGTTCTCTAAAATGGAATGCAATGCTCTCTGCCAGCGGGCCGAGTGTGCCCAAGCAGTAAGAAAAGAACCCTTTTCTTACACGGTTTGATTGGATCGAGCTCGCCCCTCGGCAAGTACTTGGGGCTTGTCACATCTAAGCCATCCAGGGCAACCGAGAAGGCTTCACCACTGCATAGCAGATTGGAGCAGAAGAGGTCAAGTCTTGATGCTGACCACCAAAACAATCGAAAAATAATAAAGAAAGCAAGATTTTCTGGTCACGTGGCATGAGCTCCATAGCACGCGCGAGCTTGAGCTTAGGGAGAGCGGTCACCCCAATTTGCAATACCTAAGACCTAAAACACCAGTACCCCCAATCCTTACATCCCCAAGCTGCAAGAAAAATCCGCATGCCCCATTCAGTCTCACACAAAATGGGGGACCCGCATCTAGAACCCCGACTCGTCGAGTCCTTAATTTGAAGACCCAACCTCTGAAAGACGGATCCCTAATTATAAGAAGGCCCTATCAGACCCTTGTAATGGCTTGGAGATATAGCTCCGGAAAATGCAGCCAAGGTCAATGCGGCCCACCGATGTCCTCCTGTAGCGATTCGGATTGAACATGAGATAATGATCTAATCACTTTTGTTGAAAATTTTTCGCTAT